GGTGGATGGATGGATGGCAGGTAGATGGATGGATGGATGGATGGATGGATGGAGGGGCAGGTAGATGGATGGATGGCAGGTAGCTGGAGGGATGGGCAGGTAGATTGATGGGTGGATGGATAGACAGGTGGATAGATGGATGGGCAGGAAGATGGAGGGATGGATGGGTAGGTAGGTGGATGGAAGGATGGGAGGATGGATGGATGGATAGGTGAATGGAAATAACTAGACAGCTAGGCAAATACTTGGGCAATAAAAAATCTTGAGCAAACCCATCAAGGCCAAAGAGAACCAAGAACTCCACAGATAGATGACAGATGGATGGAGATGGTGGACAGGCAGGCGCTTTTGGCTGCCATTGCCTCAGTTAAAACAACATTTGGATCTTTGGGGGGGCTCCCCAAACCTACATTGGAAGCCCAACATCACTTCACAACTGTCTTATGCTCGAGAACTCTGTAACTTTCCAAGCTGCAAGAAACGGAGCAGAAACGAAGAGCCAGGTGGTCTGACTGCAATCAGAACCAGCCAAGGTGAAGGCTCTCCCAGGTGACATGTCCTGCGGCCTCCCATTTCTCACCTGGTTCCGAGGAGAGGATCGTGATGGCTTCGCTCCAGGGTCCGTCTCCAGCACTGGTGTAGGCTGCAATCCGTACGGTCAAGTTCTGTACACTTGAGTTCAGAGACAACACTGTTTCGTTGGTCAGTCCCACATCCACAATCACCTTGAGGGGAAGAGAGATTTGATCATGTGACTGCTGCCATGGTCATAAGGTGAGGACCAGCTGAAAGTCCCATTTTTTTCAGTGCTGTTAGAACAGTCGCGAAACGAACGGCTGTAGGTCGAGGATGATCGGTAAACTTTCTGCTGGCGATTGGAATAGGGCCGTGATGGCGAACCTATGGCACCTATGCCACAGGTGGCACACAGAGTCATTTGTGCGGGCATGTGAGCCCCACCCAAAGTTACCTGCACTGCGCACGCGCGTGCCCCCCCCCCCCCCCCGCAGATTTTTGACCTGTTTGAGGCCGGTTTCGCCCTCCCGGACGCTCGAGGGAAGCTTCTGCCGCCTCAGGAGGCCCAAAAACAGGCCTTCCGTAAATACCAGAAGTGCTGAAACAGGTCTGTTTTCAGGCTCCCAAGGCCTCCCTTGAGCCTCCGGGAGGGCGTAAATGGCTTCCCCTGGGCTCCAGAGGCTCTCCAGAGGCTGAAAATGGGCTCTTCTGGCATTTCCGGACAGCCCGTTTTTCGGCCTTCCGAGCCTGCAGAAGCTTCCCTCGAGCCTCCGGAAGAGCGAAAATGGCCTCAAATGGGCTGAAAATCAGCTGGAAGGCACACGCATGCACAGTGCAGGTAAGGGGGTGGGGGGGTGTTGCACATACATGTGCAGAGGGGGCGCACTGCATTGTGAGTGCCGGCACGCACGCACTTTCGGCACACCACAACAAAAAGGTTCACCCTCGCTGGAATAGGGTACACCAGTGGTGGCGTGCTGGCAGTTCGCACCGGTTCTAGCGATCCAGTAGTGCCGGTCAGCAGTTGGCCCTGCCCTTTCCTGTCCTATATATTCCTCTGTTTGTGGCTCAGCTGATAGGCGCGGCAGAGTGGATTGCTACGTCACAGCTGTTTCACTCACCAGCGCGGACGGTAAGGAAAGTTTTCATGCTTAAAATTGCCCGTTTTAGAATGCTCCGTGCGTGCACGCCCACGGGACCAGTAGTAAAATATTTTGAATTCCACCACTGTCTCCAACCTCGGGTCCGTGGACCAGCAAAGGTCCGTGGTATGCTAGAAACCAGGTCCACGTAAACAAGTGAAGTCCCCTCTGTGGGATGCAGGCAGCATGCGTAACCACACCCAGTCCGGTCCACAGAAAATCCTCTCTCCAAAGAACCAGTCCCTGGTGCCCCAAATGTTGGGGGCCCCTGGGGGCCCCTGGGGTGCAGCACGTTGTTGTGGTTCACCAGCAGCCTATGCAGATGGCAGGGGAATCGGACAGTGGGGAAGAATGGGGACCAGTCCAGGAGTCTGGAGAGGAATTGGACCAGGGTCCTGCTTCCGATGCAGAGATGGAGCCAGGACCATCTGGGAGTGGGGTGCTGACTCCGGAGCCTCCGGAGTCTGGCAGCAGTGAGGCCGAGGACCCAGGGGAGCCTGTTCCCAGTGCGTGTATGCACAGAGCTGCTAGAAGGCGAGAGCAGCTGAAACAAAAGGGGCGACTCGGGAGTAAGGCTGGGAAGTGATTGGGCCTTCCCATAAGGTATAAAGGAAGTGCAAAGGTAGGAAAACCTTTGCAGGAAGCAAAGTCGTTTGTTCAGTTCAGACTCATTCTTGAAGCTCTTTGTACTTCAGTTGGTTTTGTTTCTAGTTCATTGGCAGCACTTCACAGGAAAACAAGGTGGGTGCTTATCTTGAGGGACTGTTTGAGATTCATTGCTGGCTGGGAAAGAACATAATTCCCAGCATTGCAATAAAACAAGACTTGTTTTTAAAATAAGTGTGTGCATAATTACGGAAGCCTTGGTCAGAACAAGCAGACTTGGCCAAGATGCTTGGGAATTGGGCGACCTACAGGTGCAGCTTACTCACCTCGGGTGAATCCCCACTTTGACACACCAGCTTGTACCCCTGAAGAATCCCGTTCATGCTGCCCCGCGGCTGTCTCCACCGGAGGATGGTGCAACAGCTGCCGTTCTGTTTAGCCTCGATGTTCTCCGGCGCGGTTGCAGGCACTGTGGGAGAAGCGATATATGTGCACCATGGCAGGAGGTTTTTTTTGTATGCACAACCACAAATTGAATGTTCTAATGTGGGTTTTTATTTCTTTTTTACTGTTTTAATGCTTTGGGCTGTTTTTTATTGTTTTAATGTGTTTTTTTTTAATTTTAATCGTAATATTAAGGTTTTGAATTGTGAGCTACCCAGAGTCATTTACTGAGATGGGTGGCCTATAGAAACCAAGCAAATAATTTATAAAATATAAAATAAAATAATGAAATGAAATAAAATAACATAAATCTTTCTTCTTTTATGACACTGGGAGCATTTGCACCAAGAGAAATTCCTTGTGTGTCCAATCACACTTGGCCAATAAAGAATTCTATTCTATTCTATTTCTATTTCTACTCTACTTTACTCTATAAAATAAAATAAATTATAAAATTATAAAATAAAGCAAAGCAAAACAAACAGTAAAATAAAATAAAAAATATATAAAATAATAAAAAATACAGGTAATTCTTGACTTATGACAACAATTGAGCCCGAAATTTATGTTGCTAAGTGAAACATTTGTTAAATGTGTTTTGACTCGTTTTACGAACTTTCCTGCCACAATTGTTAAGTGAATCCCTGCAGTTATTCAGTTAATAACTTGGTTGTTAAGCGAGCCTGGCTTCCCCACTGACTTTGTCTGTAAGACAGTAGCAAAAGGTGAATCAGGTGACTCCGCGACCGTCATAAATATAAGCCGGCTGCCAAGCCTCTGAACTTTGATCACATGACTATGGGGAGGCTGCAACGGTCATCAGTGTGAAAAACTGATTTTTCCTAGCGCCATTCTAACTTCAAACGGTCACTAAATGAACGGTTGTAAGTCGAGGACTAACTGCAAGCATCGTAACTTAAGTCCTCCCTACAAGAAGGAAGAGGCCATTTCTGGCTACAGGTAGGCCTCCGGATTTATGACCGCTGGCGGTGACCATTCGAAATAAGGGGGCTGGCTGGGGTCCTGGCGCCTCATCCCTCCCCACGTCTCTTACCTCCTTCCAAGGTGTCCATAGCCACCCAGTGGGTCCAGGGCGAGTGGCCCTCGGTGGAATGGCAGGCCACGCGCACGTGGTAGGTGGTGAAGGCTTCCAGGCCGTCCAGCGTGTGGCTGAAAGGCGGGACGCGGATCTTGCGGTTGTACAGCTCCTCGGAAACGGTGCTCAGGTCATCATCGGAGCGCATAGCCTGCGAGAAAGGAGGTGAGGAAGCCGGTGAGGTTGGCACCCAAACAAGGAAGGTGCCAAGAACGATTCCGCCTTAGATCAAAGGCTCCTTCCAAGTCTTGAGTCTATTCTTGTTCTGTTCTATATTCTGTTTTTATTCTTACTCTAATTGCTTTATTCTTATTCTATTTTATTCCATTGTTGTTTTATTCTTATTCTATTCTATTATTGTTTTATTCTTATTCTATTCTATTCTTGTTTTATTAGTCTATTTTATTCTACTTTTGCTCTATTCTGTTCTGTTCTGTTCTGTTGCTTTATTCTTATTCTATCCTAGGGGAAGAGCCATCGAAGTAGGAGAAGTTGCAATAGAGAATTGGGGTTTTTATTTTTATTTATTTTATATATTTATCGAGCATGTGTTAGATAACAGATATAAGTATAAACATGATTATGAATGCATGAAATGGATATCAATAAAAGGGGATATTAGGACAGGGACGGTAGGCACGTTGGTGCGCTTATGCGCGCTCCTTACAGACCTCTTAGAAATAGGGTGAGGTCCACAGTAGACAGTCTAAGGTTAAAGTTTTTGGGGTTTGGGGAAGAAACCACAGAGTCAAGTAGTGTATTCCAGGCATTGACCACTCTGTTGCTGAAGTCGTATTTCCTGCAATTGAGTTTGGTGTGGTTTACTTTGAGTTTGTATCTATTGTGTGTGCTCGTGTATTGTTGAGATTGAAGCTGAAGTAGTCATTGATGGGTAGGACATTGCAATGGATAATTTTATGTATTATGCTTAGGTCGGACCAAAGTCGGCGTAGTTCAAGGTTATCTAAACCTAAAATTTCAAGTCTGATGGCATAAGGTATTCTGCAATGCGGGTTCCAGACAGATGAGCTATATTTGAGAATTGCTCTATCGAGCAAATGTTTTGTATGCTCTAGTTAGCAGTGCAATAATCATCGGAGAAAAAGCTATGCAGAATTAGGTCAACAACTCTTAATGCCTTTTTGGCAATGTTGTTCCAGTGGGCTCTAGCACTTAGATCAGTGGTGGCAAACCTTTTTGTTGTGGTGTGCCGAAAACGCGCACATGCTGACACCCACAATGCAATGCGCCCCGCCCCCCCGAGCAACACCTCTGTCCCGCCTCACTTTATCTGTACTGCGCATGCATGCGCCTCCCAGCTGATTTTTGGCCCGTTTGAGGCCATTTCCACCCTCCCGGAGACTCGAGGGGAGCTTCTGCAGTCTCAGGAGGCCAAAAAATGGGCCTTCCGGAAATACCAAAAGTGCTGAAACGGGCCCGTTTTTCGGCCTCCCAAGGCTGCAGAGGCTTCCCTCGAGCCTCCGGGAGGGTGAAAACAGCCTCAAATGGGCTGAAAATTAGCTGGGAGGTGTGTGCTTGAGCAGTGCAGGTAAATTTGCCTGGGGCTCACATGCCCGTACAAATGGCTGTGTGTGCCACCTGTGGCACGTGTGCCATAGGTTCGCCATCACGGACTTAGATCATGAGAGATGAGTACTCAGAGGTCCTTGACAGAGTGGGGGTGCTGACCCCTGAATCATATTTTGCGAGAGGGGGGCGAGTTTCCTTATTATTATTTTTTTTTTTTGTTCCGCATTCCTCTTTCTTTTTCTGCCGGGGTTGCGTTTCTTCCGAAAACAACTCCCAGGACAGAAGCTTCCACTTCTGTGTGAATGAGCCCATGTTGGAAATACCCCCTTTTTTTAACTCTCAGTTTTCATTCTTGGCTCTTGAAATCTCTTTCTCGTGAATGTCAGTTCCCCTTCCTTGAAATGGGGGTGGAGTTTGTCCCATTTCATTCAGCCGGCGAGGCTGATGCGGGGTGGGAAGGTGGAGGAGGTGGGAGGAATCGTCGTTGGATGAGTAAACCGACATCCGGAGGAAGCAACTTTTGGCAGGAAATTGCTTCTAAAAATAACACAAATTCCCTCGGAGGGCCATGCTGAAAAGGAGGTAGAATAGAGGCAAGTCCTCCAAATTTCAGTTGCTAAGTGAGAGAGTTGTTAAGTGAGTTTTGCCCCCCATTTTATGACCTTTCTTGTTGTTAAGGGAACCACTGCAGTTGTTAAGTTAGTAACAACGGTTCTGAAGTGAATCTGGCTTCCCCTTTGGTTTTTACTTGCCAGAAGGTCACAAAAGGGGATCCCGTGACACCCCCCCCCAGGAGACTGCAACCATCATAAATATGAGTCAGTTATCAAATGTCCAAATTGTGACCACTGGAAAGCTGCAATGGCCATAAGTCACCAATAATGGAGAATATTTATAGCTCCGGGTTGAAATGAGGGGGTCCTTGGTGCTCTCTGAGCTTGGTGGTTTTCTGGTAGACATTTCATGACCCAACTAGGGAACAGCATCAGTGCTAGGAGTGGGGTTTGTGGAGAGGAGGAGGGAAGGGAAGGGAGGAGGGAAGAGGGGGAGGAGGAGGACAGTGGGGTCCCTGGTGGTCTCTGAGCTTGGTGGTTTTCTTGCAGATGTTTTATTACCCAACTAGGTAACATCCTCAGTGCAGGGAGGAGGAGGAGGAAGAGAAGGAGGAGGGGGACGGGGAGGAGGAGTGGAAAAGGACTGTGGGGTCCTTGGTGTTCTCTGAGCTTGGTAGTTTTCTTGCAAATGTTTCATTACCCAACTAGGACACATCATCAGTGCTAAGTCACTGCCCTTAGTGCCATTGTAACTTCGAAGGTCACTAAATGAACTGTTGTAAGTCCAGGACTACCTGTAACCTGTTTCTGGATTTGAACAGAAGGGGGAATCAGTTATCATAACCCCCCCCCTCTTTTTTTTTTGGTAAATTGTGGGTTTCGCCGGCTAGGGGCTGTGGTGTTACCTGGATGGTGCAGAACTCCTGTGCATAGGCGCCACCAAAACCAGGCTCCCACGTCACATCCAGGCTGTGGCCACTGCGATGGGCAACGGATAAGTCATGTGGCTGCCCAGGTAACACTACAGAGAGAAAATAATTAGCAATATTCACCTGCCAATCAATACCGAGACCACTGATGCTACAAACTGCAGGTTTCGCTCCAGGCATCCACTTATAATTGGAGACTGGATGGATAATCTCTTCAGCCAGCTTCAGGCCTGTTTTGCAATGCTACCTTTCCGCAGGTACAGGAAAATAGATTGTCCTCAACTTACATCCTGGATGCACAAATGACCCTTTACTGCAGGGGTCTCCCACCGTAGCAATTTAATGACTTGTGGACTTCAACTCCCAGAATTCCCCAGCCGGCTATGGAGTCGAAGTCCACAAGTCGTAATTGTTGTCCCAAAGGTGCTTTTTTCAGGAGGCAACTGGACTTCCTGCTTATTTTTCTTGGGAAGACGTTTTGCTTCTCATCCAAGAAGCTTCTTCAGTTTACTTTACTTTATTGTCCTTGCACCTCGTACAACGAAATCAAACACCATCTTCAGTGCACATCATGACCATGATCATGAAAATAAACACAAACACACATCCTTCACCCTCCACACATTGAACCGAAAACTCACCAACACTGCACTATAGAGCAGAATTCAACAGAGCTACTGCCCTGGGATAGAAGCTGTTTTTCAGCCTATTTGTCCTTGTTTTTATTATTCTGTACCGTCTGCCAGATGGTAATAGTTCAAAACAAGGGGGAGCCCAGGATGAGATGGATCTTTGAGGATGTTTTGAATTTTCTTAAGGCAGCAGGAGTGATAAAGCTCTTCCAAAGAGGGGAGAGGGCAACCAATGATCTTCTGGGCAATGACTTTAACCCTCTGGAGTGCCGTCCTATCTGCCACTGTGCAAGTGGCAAACCCTACACAGGTGTGTAATAAGTTAAGATACTCTCTATGGTGCAGCGGTAGAAGGTCGCCAGCAGTTTTTCATTCAGTTGTTGTTTCCTGAGACACCTCAGGTAGTCTAATCTCTGCTGGGCCCTTTTGACCAGGGCTGCAATGTGAGCCCCCCAGGTCAGGTCCTTTTTTAGGGTAACACCCAGAAACTTAAAACTGGCCACTTGCTCCCTTCAGTCTCCAATGATAAGCAAGGGCTCGGTGTCTGATCTGTTCCTTCCATAGTCCACTATAAGCTCCTTGGTCTTATTGGTGTTGAGGACCAAGTTGTTGTCTCCACACCACAAAAGCAACCAGTTCACCTCATCTCGGTAGGCAGACTCATTTCAACCCACCCCCCGCCCCGAGATGAGTCCCACCACTGTTGTATCATCTGCAAATTTAGCAATAGTATTGCTAGCGTGGGTGGGAATGCAGTCATGCACGTAAGGAGTATAGAGTAAGGGACTCAACTTCAGCTTTTGACAGGATGGTGGGGGAATGGAAGGGTTTATCTTCCTTGCAAACAGCTGGTCATTTGCATCCTTGAGGCCACTTGGAGGTTTATCTGTATCCTCAGGGTCAGCTGAGTGGTGCTCCTGGTTCCTGTAGTCTGCAATATTTTACCCTCTGGAAATACCTTCCAACCATTCAAAGGGTGTTCGTCCCAAATTGTACAGCTAAAAGCCTGTAGGGATTCTCAGTCCCCCAGATGATGGTTGTTCCAAAGGTGCTTTTTCAGGAGGCAACTGCCTGCAAAGAATATCAGTCCTTCCATTCCCCACCGTCCTGTCAGAGCTGAAGAAGCTTCTTGGATGAGAAGTGAAACATCTTCAAGAGAAAAAAAACAACAACCCCAGAAAGTCCAGTTGCCTCTTGTAAAAAAAACCACCTTTGGGACAACCACGACCTGGAGGACTGAAAATCTCTACAGACTAAGTCGTAATGCTGCCATTAAATATAATCTAGCATGATGGAAGGGGGAACAAACTCTTTATCAATGCCACCCCAAATATGGCGACTTGCACGTGTTTAAAAACATGCGCCTGAAATGGTATCTTTAACCCCCGCCGGGCAGTTTCCACACCAACCCGTTTACACCGTTCGTTTGCACTAGGGATTCCCCCCCAAATGGATTTTACGCACACACACACACACACACACACACACACACACACACGCACAGGTCTCTCACCTTTCACCACCGCAGTTCGCGATGTGCTGACTCCCTTGGCGTTGTGGGCTTCGCACGAGAAGGAGGCGCTGTGATTCAGCCCTGAAAGGAAACAGCAAACACCCAGAGAAAAAGATGAATTGATTGTAACCAACTTTAAATACTTCAAGAGTATCGTTTTATTTGTTTATATCCTGGCTTTATTTGTTATCAATAACTCAAGGCAGCACACATACCTACTACGTCGTCCTCATTTTCCCCACAACAACAATAACCATGTGGGGTGGGTTGCGCTGAGAGAAAGGGATTAGAACTTACCGTCATCTGGTGACTGGTCCAATATCATCTAGCTAGCTTTCTTGTCTAACGCAGAACTAGAATTCCCCATCACCTGGTGCTTGCTCAATGTCATCCAACCAGCTTTCTTGCCTAAGGCGGGATTAGAACTCACAGTCTCCTGGTGATTGGCCCAACACCATCCAGCCAGCTTTCCTAAGGCAGGACTAGAACTCACCGTCACCTGGGTGATTGACCCAACATCACCCAACCAGCTTTCTTCCCTAAGGCAGGACTAGAACTCATAAGTCTCCTGGTGATTGGCCCAAAGTCACCCAGCTTGTAGTCCATGCATGGCCGGCTGGGGAATTCTGGGAGTTGAAGTCCACACATCTTAAAGCTTTCAAGGTTGAGAACCCCTGGCGTAGCGGATGCCCAAAATGGCATCTTGGGAATGGCACCTGATGCCCAGAGCAACCATCTTAGACAACCATCAAAATTAGAATTTGGGATTGCCTCAAACTTTGATTCTGGGGCATTTTGACCTTACTTCTTTGGAGAAAAACTTAAGTTTTGTTTTGTTTCCTGAGTGATAACACTCTGTGGGGTCATTGTTGAGAGAATCTCAATAATTTCTTTTTCTTTTCCTCAGCTGCTTTGGAAGCGTTGTCGAGGGGCAAAAGTATAAAGAATAATCAGATTATTATTTTTTTGTCCGCAAAGAATTGGAGGAAGGGATTCCCGGTTCGAATCCTGCCTCTTTTCGCACTGGTGGTCTTGGGAGAAAAGCCAGGGCGATAGAAGTAAACTCAAAAAAGCTCTCGCCTCATGCTAAATAAATAACATTTAAAAGCTCTTTCCCCAGACAGGAAATGGATGGTTAAACCGAGTGAACTCTGCAAAGCAGAGACATTAATTTGAACGAAACCTCATGAAGTCAAGAGGGAGATTGGCAGGCATTCACCCAAAGGCTGTTTATATTTCCCCGCCTGGGAACTCTTGGTGAAGGTGCAGGAACAGGCCTCCATCTGCAGAGAATCTAGCAAAGCTGGATATTTGAGAAACTATTTCAGAATAAGCCCCCAAATTCCCTCGAGGCCTCTCTTCCTTTAATATAAAACAAGAGACACATGTGTGTCAGAGTGTAACAGAGGTTAAAAAAAAATATATCAAAATATTCATGTCCTGGAAGATCTCTTTAGCTAAATACAAGGAGTCTTTGACATATGACAGTTCATTTAGTGACTGTTGGAGCCAGAGATGGTATTCAGCCAGTTTGGATCGGTTCTACAGAACCGGTAGTGGAAATTTTGAGTGGTTTGGAGAACCAGCAAAGACCACTTCTGACTGGCCCCGCCCACTTCTATTCTCCGCCTCCCATTGAGTCCCAGCTGATTGGCTGGGTCTCCTTTTGTTGCCCTGCAGAGGAGAACGGAGCTGGAAAGCAGGTTAGTGGGATGGGAAGGGGGATTTTGCAGTATCCTTCCTCTGCCACGCCCACCAAGCCACGGCCACAGAACCGGTAGTAAAAAAAATGTGAATCCCACCACTGGTTGGAGCCTACAACGGCACTGAAAAAAAAATTGACACGAGCAATTTTCACACTTTCGACCACTGCAGCAGCCCCTATGGTCACGTGATCAAAACTCAGACGCTTGGCAACTGGCTTGTATTTATGACAGTTGGGGTCACAGGGTCACGTGATCCCCTTTTGCGGCCTTCTGATGAACCAAGTCAAGAGACAAGCCAGATTCACTTAACAACCGCCGGGCCCTAGGGAAAAATCTGAAAATCCAGGCGGTTCGAACAAATATAAAGATTCATTGTGAGCTTAAGTTTTCTACAAGAATCTGACTTACTAATGATCAACTGGCGGCAGATGAGAGTCAAAAAGCATTCAAGGTGGGGTGGACTTAGATCTCTTGAAGGCACGAATGGACTCAAGACTAATGACGCATTCGATGCCTCCCTCCCTTGGGCTCAGCCGTGTTGCTAACTTCACGACTGTAGCGATTCACTTAACAGCTGGCTGGGGAATTCTGGGACTTGAAGTCCACAAGCTTTAATCTTGCCATGGTCAGACACCCCTGGTTTTAGGCTTTCCCAGAGCAGCCAAGCCTTTGAATACACTGTTGTGTGGCTTGGAATCTAGCCCAGATTTAACAATAAGTAGCACCACAATGGATGTTCTTGTCCTGATCGTACCCTTCCTGCAAGGGCTGGGTCAAACCAGTGGGCACACTGGCAGCCACCTGGACAAACAGCGGGCAGTGATGAGACGAGGCGTGGGGGGCAAATATTCGATTGGCATGCGCCCTGGGAGAGAACCGAATGCCACAAGTGCTGAAAACAGGAAAGGGCCCGTGGGATTAGCATGTCTAGTCCATCCACCGTGGCTTATTCCACTTTCTGACCACATCGTTTCTGCAAAGGCTGAGTCAGCAACGGGCAAACATTCCCAGCAGCCGGCAGAAACAGATGTCCTGGCATAAGGGAGATTCAAACCCCGCCAAAAAAGTTTATTTTTTAATTTGTGCTCCTGTGCATTTACAGTTCTTTGTTCCACTACTTATGGGAGGAATAGGCAAGGCAAAAAAAACCCAAATGTACCAATTGGGAGGAAGATGGCTCGGTAGCAGTATTGCAAGAAGGATCTTGGCGTTTTAGTGGACAACCACCAAAACGTGAGCCAGCCGTGTGCGGCGGCAAACCCAAAAAAGCCAACACAATCTGAGGCTGCCTTAACAGAGAGTGATAGGATCAAGATCGTTTGAAGTGGCTAGTACCATTTTACAAAGCCTTAGGTAAGATTACACACCCTTGGAATATTGCAGTTTTGGTCACCGCTTCATATGTTGAGACTCCGGAAAGAGTGCAGAGAAGAGCAACGAAGACGATTAGGAGATTGAAGACCAAAACATATGAAGAACGTTTGCTGGGGCCAGGTGAGAAGTGAAACACCTTCAGAGCAAAGGAGAAGGAGGGGAGAAAGAGAAGGGGAAAAGGGAAGGAAAGAAGGGAGGGAGTCGAAGAAGAAAGGAAAAAGGGGTAGAGGAGGAGGAGACAGACAGGGTCTTATCACTCTCCGGAAGATTGATTTCGTACTCCTGGTTTTCATTTTTTGAATGTCAGGATACCTTTGAACTATCTCTGATGCTCACCCTGGGTGGGATGGCCCAAGATGCTAGTCCCTTTTGTTTGCTATCCTTCCACTCATCCTGAAGACTAGCCTTCAACCCTGAGAAATCTCCACTCAGGAAAGAGAGAGTGCGTATGAGAGAGAGAGAGAGAGAGAGAGAAAGAGGGGAGAGAAAGGAGAGAAAGAAAGAGGAGAGAGAAAGAGAGAGGGAGAGAGAGAGGGAGGGAGGGAGGGAAAGAGGGAAGGAGGGAGAGAAAGAAGAGAGAAAGAGGGAGAGAGAAAGAGGAGAGAGAGAAAGAGGGAGGAGAGAAAGAGAGAAAGGAGAAAGAGAGAAAGGGAGGGAGAGGGAGAGAAAGGAGAGAGAGAAAGAGAGAGGAGAGTGGGAGAAAGGGGAGAGAGAAAGAAAGAGGGAGGGAGGGAGAGAGAAAGAGAGAGAGGAGCTAGAGAGAGGAGAGTGGGGAGAGAGAG